TGGCTATTAAAATTTAAGTCTGAGTCCAGTATTACCCCTAGATTTCTGACCTTGTTAGAAGGTTTTAGGGAGAGAGACTGTAGGTGACAGATGACGCTCTCTCTTTGTTTCTGGGGACCAAAGACAATCATTTCAGTTTTGTCTGCGTTTAGCTGAAGGAAGTTGTTTTGCATCCACTCACTGATCTGTTGGATACAGTGAAGGAGTGAGTCCACTGGTCCATGTTCTCCTGCAGTCAGTGAGACATAGATCTGAGTGTCGTCTGCATAGTTATGATAGGAAACTTTGTTTCTGCGTATTAACTGACCTAACGGCAGCATGTAGAGATTGAACAGAAGAGGTCCCAGGATCGACCCCTGTGGTACTCCACAGGTCAGGGCCATATGATCTGAGACACAGTTTCCAATCTCCACAAAGTACTTCCTGTCTTCAAGGTAAGACCTAAACCAACTTAGGGCGGTGCCAGCGACGCCAACCCAGTCCTCTAGTCTCTGTAAGAGGATCTCATGGTCGACAGTATCAAAGGCAGCACTTAGATCTAACAGGATTAGGATTGAGACTTTGCCTGCGTCAGTGTTCAGCCGGATATCGTTTGTAACCTTAACGAGAGCAGTCTCAGTGCTGTGGTGGGGTCTAAAGCCGGACTGAAACATATCAAATGAGTTGTTGATTATAAGAAATCTAGTAAGCTGTAGGTAGACAACTTTCTCAAGGACTTTCCCCATAAATGGCAGATTTGAGATGGGACGATAGTTGTTAAGTACCGTAGCATCCAGACTGCTCTTTTTTAGCAGGGGCCTGATGACTGCAGTTTTCAGGGCCTTTGGGAATATTCCAGAATCAAGGGACATTTTTACTATCTGTGTGAGTGAAGGTAACAGACTGCTCAGAACAGACTTTAGAAATCTAGTGGGTAGTACATCCAGGCTGCATGTGGAGGAGCTCAAACTGGAGATTATCTCTTGGACAGTTTGATCATTTACAGGTGCAAAGTAAGTTAGCTCAAAGAGCCTTTCTGGCTGTTGGATTGTTATCTGTGGATTGGAGACAATGGCGTTTTTGATGCCTTGAACCTTGTCATTGAAAAAATGTGCAAACTCATTACATTTACGTTTGGAAGTTAGCTCTAATGGCATTTGAACAGGGGGGTTTGTTAATCTATTAACTGTTGAAAACAGAACACGCAGATTGTTGCTGCAGCCTTCAATCATTTCAGAAAAATACCTTTCTCTTGTACTACGTAGCACCTGGTTAAACTCGCACAACTTATCTTTGAAGATCTTGTAATCAACCTGGAGGTTGGACTTGCGCCACTTCCGCTCGGCCCTCCGGCACTCTCTCTTTTGTGCTCTGACCGAGTCTGCTTTAGCCCACGGCGCCTTCTGCTTATTTTTCACTATTTTAACCTTCACAGGAGCGATGGTGTCCAGAACTTTCAAAACACTAGAGGTGACAGAGTTAAACAGTTCATCTACAGTAGAATACGATGCATTCTCAAAGTTTATCATTCCCATAAATAGTTCACCCGTATTTTCATTTATGTGTCTTCTTCGTACAGTTGCAGAGTCCACTGGTGGTTTGTTAGTGAAACACATGTCAAAAAATATACAAAAATGATCCGAAAGCGCAACATCGACCACGTTTACATTATATATGTTCGCCCCCTTTGTAACTAACAGGTCTAGAGTGTGCCCTTTGCTGTGGGTGGGGCCACTCACATGCTGAGTGAGACCAAAAGATTCAAGAAGAGAACTCAGCTCTTTAGCATTTCTGTCATCAACATTATCCACATGAATATTAAAATCACCTGTAATAACTAAACTATCAAAATCTGTGCATACAACTGAAAGCAACTCTGTAAAATTATCAATAAAACTGTGACATGACTGCGGTGGCTTGTATAGGACAACGAAAAGTATTGGAGGAGATTGTTTTTGTTGTATTTTAAAAGACACATATTCAAAAGACGGAAACTTCCCAAGAGACATTCTATGGGAGACAAAGTGGTCTCTGAAAATGGCAGCTAAGCCTCCTCCTTTTTTGTTTTCCCGTATTTCAGATTCAAATTTGAAATTTGGTGGTGATGCTTCTATTAAAACTGCATTTTCTGTATTTTGGTCAAGCCATGTTTCAGCCATGAACATAAGATCTAGATTATAAGAACAAATAAAATTATTGATTAAAAAAGACTTGTTACAAAGAGATCTGACATTTAGCATAGCAAGTTTCAAAGTTTCAGGATCAGCGGTTGTGGTCGGCTGGATTCTTACACGGAACAAGAATTAGATTTTCCTGATTAGACTGATTAACTCCAGATGTTTTTCTGTAATGTATTCTTTGTGTTATCACTAAGGGAATGGCACAGGTGGCTTCATGACAGGGCCCCAGCCGGGTCTCTCCTCTAACTAGACTGCCAGTGGCTGCGAAGCAGAGACCCTGTGCATCCTAGTGTTTAGAGAAAAGAGGGGTAGGGGAAGGCGGGGGAGGAGGATGGAGAGGCGGGTGGTTCTTGGGAGTTGGACGGGGAGGGGTTGAAGGTGGATGGGTTTTTGGTGATGGGTTAGGGGAGGGGCAGGCTGAGTTGGGTGGTGGACGAGGGGGGAGTGGAGGTGGAGGGTTTCTTGGTGCTGAGTTAGGGGGGGGGGAGGGGGGCTGTGTGTCTCTACAGAACAGTCCGTGCGTCTCTACAGAACAGTCCGTGCGTCTCTACAGAACAGTCCGTGCGTCTCTACAGAACAGTCCGTGCGTCTTTACAGAACAGTCCGTGCGTCTCTACAGAACAGTTTGTGCGTCTCTACAGAACAGTCTGTGCGTCTCTACAGAACAGTCTGTGCGTCTCTACAGAACAGTTTGTGCGTCTCTACAGAACAGTCTGTGCGTCTCTACAGAACAGTTTGTGCGTCTCTACAGAACAGTCCGTGCGTCTCTACAGAACAGTTTGTGCGTCTCTACAGAACAGTTTGTGCGTCTCTACAGAACAGTCCGTGCGTCTTTACAGAACAGTCCGTGCGTCTCTACAGAACAGTCCGTGCGTCTTTACAGAACAGTCCGTGCGTCTCTACAGAACAGTTTGTGCGTCTCTACAGAACAGTCCGTGCGTCTTTACAGAACAGTCCGTGCGTCTCTACAGAACAGTCCGTGCGTCTTTACAGAACAGTCCGTGCGTCTCTACAGAACAGTTTGTGCGTCTCTACAGAACAGTCCGTGCGTCTCTACAGAACAGTCCGTGCGTCTCTACAGAACAGTTTGTGCGTCTCTACAGAACAGTCTGTGCGTCTCTACAGAACAGTTTGTGCGTCTCTACAGAACAGTCCGTGCGTCTCTACAGAACAGTTTGTGCGTCTCTACAGAACAGTTTGTGCGTCTCTACAGAACAGTTTGTGCGTCTCTACAGAACAGTCTGTGCGTCTCTACAGAACAGTCCGTGCGTCTCTACAGAACAGTCTGTGCGTCTCTACAGAACAGTCTGTGCGTCTCTACAGAACAGTCTGTGCGTCTCTACAGAACAGTCCGTGCGTCTCTACAGAACAGTCCGTGCGTCTCTACAGAGCAGTCCGTGCGTCTCTACTGAACAGTCCGTGCGTCTCTACAGAACAGTTTGTGCGTCTCTACAGAACAGTCCGTGCGTCTCTACAGAACAGTCCGTGCGTCTCTACAGAACAGTTTGTGCGTCTCTACAGAACAGTCCGTGCGTCTCTACAGAACAGTTTGTGCGTCTCTACAGAACAGTCCGTGCGTCTCTACAGAACAGTTTGTGCGTCTCTACAGAACAGTCCGTGCGTCTCTACAGAACAGTTTGTGCGTCTCTACAGAACAGTTTGTGCGTCTCTACAGAACAGTCCGTGCGTCTCTACAGAACAGTTTGTGCGTGCCGAGACGCTCGAACACGTGTCACCATTGACTTTGCATTGAAAGCATGATCCGGTCTGAACGCGGCAGCAGACTCGTTCTGACATAAACAGAACAAAATGTGATGTTGATCTAGTAATTCATTATTTATCTTATTTATTTTATCTGTTAAAACACATTGAATTCATAGAGTTCCATATACAGACAAGGACACACCAAGAAGCTCTAAGAACTTTAAATGATCTAAGTCATAGTTTTAGAATCTAAACTATTCTCAATACTTATATTAGTGTCCAGTGATATCTGTGGGCGGTCCTGAGCAGCTGAAGGGTTTCCGTCCGTGTGCGTCTTCATGTGATTGTTGAGACAGCTCATCTTGGAAAACCCTTTGTCGCAAACTGAGCAGCTGTAAGCTTTCTCCTTCGTGTGAACTCTACCGTGCGCAATCAGCGTCGTCTTGTGGGAAAACGTTTTATCGCAAGTGTCACAGCTGAAAGGTCTCTCCCCGGTGTGCGTCCTCATGTGTATCGTTAGTTTAGACCTGCTGGAAAACACCTTACTGCAACACGAGCAGCTGAAAGGTTTTTCCCCACTGTGCCGCTTCATGTGGCATTTCAACAAAGAAACGTCACTGAATATTTTCTCACAAACATCACAACGGAACTGCTCCCCCTTGTGGCCGCTCATGTGTCGCCTCAGAGCGGTGTGGTGGGTAAAGGGTTTCTCACAAATCTCACAGTTAAACGGTTTCTCACCTGTGTGCGTTCTGCTGTGAGTTTTGAGGGCACCCTGCTGGGAGAAGGCTTTGTTACAGACCGAGCAGCTGTAAGGTTTCTCCCCAGTGTGTATTAAGCTGTGTCCCACTAAGGTGCTTTTGTGGGAGAAGGATTTGTTGCAGACGGAGCAGGTGAAAGGCCTCTCTCCGGTGTGAACTTTACTGTGAACGACTAAGTTGCTTCGGTGAGCGAATGTTTTGTTACAGACTGGGCAGCTGTGGGCCTTCTCCCCGGTGTGGAGGATGATGTGTGAGTTTAGAGCGCTCTTAAAGTGAAAGGCTTTGCTACAGATGGAACATGTGTAAGGTTTCTCTCCCGTGTGAAGCCGGATGTGTTGCTGTAAGTTCGCCTTCTTCCCTTTTATTGTCTTCTGACAGAAAGGGCACTGGTGGATCTCCCGCCCGGCTGTTTTTGTGGAGGTCCTGTCTCCATTGTTTCTGCTGGTCTCTGGGGCAGACGTGGCGGACAGGTCTGAGGTCTGTCCTGTGGTTCCCCTGGTCCTCACCTGGTCTTGGTTCTCCTGGTCTCCATCGATCCTGACCGGGGATGTCCAGTCTTGGTCAGAGTTCGATGAGTGGTCTGTGCCTCCCTCGGTCTCGGGGTCGGACTGTGGTTCTGCCTTGAGGTCTTCTCCCTGTGGTTCCTCTGATTTGAGATCACAGGGCTCTTGTTTTGGCTCAAAGGGCTCGAAAGACTCTTGTTTTAGCTCAAAGGGCTCTTCCTCTGACTTCACACGCACAGTGATGTACTCGGGGACAAACCTGGAAAACACATTAAACATGAAAACGAAATCAATCTCCATGAATAATACACTCAGAGCTGACACCATAGAGACTTAGACATAGAGACTTCTTTTATCACCTTTCAGCGCTTACGTGTGTGTACGTGAGTGTGTGTGAGTGTGTTACATACAGTTGTGTGTCTCTCTCCTCTTCCTCCTCTTTGATCCTGGCTCTCTCCTCTTCCTCCTCTTTGATCCTGGCTCTCTCCTCTTCCTCCTCTTGGCTCCTCTTCTTTGTGGAGAGACACACTTCCTCGTCATTCTCTGCTGTTGTCAGATGCTCCTTCTTCAGAGACATGTTTACAACCTTTTAGCTTTAGCAGCAAAGCTAACCACAAAGAGACGTCGACTGAACGGGAGCGCGCACGTCACTGCGGTGCATTCACGAACCTCGGACACTAGACTGTCTAGTTATACACCAGCGCTTCCGGAAGGGTTTTTTCACACTCCCGTCTTTATCAATCAAGTAAATAACAATAATAATAATAATACTAATATTAATAACAATAATAATATTAATAATGATGATGATAATATAGTGCTTTTATAGACTCTCAAAGTATCTTCACATAATTATTCTCTCACTCCAAACACAGTGATAATAAACTAATAATGTCGCCACAGCTGCCCTGGGGCACACTGACAGAAGCGAGGCAACCGGTCTGTGCCATCAACCCCCCTCCCACCACCACCACCACCACCACCAACCATTCACACACACCAGACTCATTCTAGGCAATAGGGGTAAAGTGTCTTGCCTAAGGACACAACCACAGTTTGGCCGCCCCACTGTGGCACCTGCTGTTCCCAGAGGTCTCCCATCACCGTACTAACCAGGCCCTGCCCTGCTTAGCTTCAGAGGTGAAGAATTCAGTTTTCGCTCATAGTGCTTCGTAAACGCAGTCATGTTTAGATATTTAGGGGCTGTTCATGTTAAAACAAACAGAAAGATGAAAAAACATGAAATAAAACATAATATAAAGTTATAATTTATTTGAGTATTTAAATGAACACAATTTAAAACAGTGATTCGTGGATAAAGTTTCAATCAAAACCAAATAATTCAGTTTTTATACGTTTTTCATGAGTCTTTAAACTTTACCGCTCTGAGCTGTTTGAACCGTGACAAATAAAAACTTTATTGACAAAACAAAGTCGTTCTCATCAAAGTGTTTTATAAAGAAAATCCATCTCACATTATTCTGACCAATCAGGTGATACTGCATCTTTTCCAAAGGCACACACACAAACATCTCAAGGCACACAACCGTCCCCCGGCCCACAGGTTGAGAAACACCGTTAAACTCCTTCAAACTGAACCAGAGACTGCTTCGTTTTCTGCCGCCTCCATAACTTATCGTTTTCTCCTCTGCACCGAGAATGTTGTTGTAGAAAGACCACACTGTGAGGAGAGTTTGCATGTTCTCCTCGTGTTTGTTCCGGTCTCCCAAAAACTAAAACAAGCACAAACTTCTTTCTCTCGTCTTTCAGATCGGTGTAAAAAGGCGTTAGCTCCGATCGACCAATCAGCAACAGTTTAGCTCCAACCCAAACTAAACCGTTTTCATTTAGTTCAGAAAAAAATATCAAAAAACAAACTCATCAATAATAAAAACATTAGATCAAAGAAGAGGCTCCACTGAAGGAACAAGGATTAAACAAAACAAATCTCTCGTCTCGCTTTGAATATTTTAGTTTATCAAATACATTTCCAACATTTTTAACTGAAGTCAAGTTTTGTGTAGAAATATATCAAATCTGTTTATGAAAAATGAAAAAAAATGGACTTGAAAGAACTTGCACTTGTTTCTTCAACTGTGTCTCAGTCCAAGTTTCAAATGTATTTCCTTTAAAATCTTATTAAACTAGCTCCTTTTGGTAAAACATTTTGTCATCTTTTGTGGTGTTCTTTCCTCACAATCTGAAATATCTAATTTGTTGCATGTTTACTCCAGAAATGTCGTTTATACCACACTTATTCTGACTGCGGGAATAACCTGTAAATGTGATTTAGATTTATCTGATTAGCCGCTAGTAATTAGCTAGCTGATTAGCCGCTAACCGTTGACTAGTTTTGATGCTAGTTTCAGTAAATTTAATACTTTTGACCTAATCATCTGAATGCATGTGTTCTGTGTGTGTTAAACTATGATTCAAAAGAACTCGTCTTGGAAAATACTTTGTCGTTGGCAGAGCAGCTGTAAGGTTTCTCTCCAGCGTGCACTTTATTGTGTACAACTAAATTACTCTTATGGGAAAAGGACTTGTTGCAGACTGAGCAGCTGTAAGGCTTCTCCCCGGTGTGGAAGCGGATGTGCAGCTGCAGGTTCTGCTTCTTCCCTTTGACCGTCTTGTTGCAGAGCGGGCACTGGTGGGACTCGTCTCTGGCCGGTTGTTCTCCGGTGTGAATTTTACTGTGTGCGTTTAAATTACTCTTTTTGGCAAATGTTTTCTGGCAGACTGAGCAGCTGTAAGGCTTCTCCCCCGTGTGGACTTTGTGATGTGCGATGAAAGTACTCCGTTGAGCAAATGCTTTCTTACAGATGTCGCAGCTGTAGGGTCTCTCCCCGGTGTGAAGCCGGATGTGGCGTTCTAGGTTTTGCTTCTTCCCTTTGATGATCTTGGAGCAGAACGGGCACTGGTGCGACTCGCCGTTGTCGGTCGGTTCTCCGGTGTGAATTTTACCGTGAACCAGTAAATTACTCTTTTTAGAAAATGTTTTGTTACAGACTGAGCAGCTGTGAGGTTTCTCCCCGGTGTGGACTTTAAGGTGTGCGTTGAGAGAACTCTTATAGGAGAATGTTTTGTTGCAGACTGAGCAGCTGTAAGGTCTCTCTCCAGTGTGAATGCGAATATGTTCTTGTAAATGCTGCATCTTTCTGAGTATTTTACTGCAGAACGGGCACTGGTGCGACTCCCCTTTGGCTCCCGTTACAGACCCGTCTTCATGGTTCACTGTGGTCTCTCTCCTGGTTCTGTCCTGCTCGTTCTGGTCCTCAGTGCTCCTCACTGGAACTCTCCAGTCTTCATCAGAGTCAGAGGAGTGGTCTGTGTCTCCCTCGTTCTCTGAGGGAGACTCTGGATCCTCTGCCTTTGGCTCTAGAGGCTCTTGTTTTGGCTCAAAGGGCTCCTCCTTCGGCTCAAAGGGCTCTTCCTTCACACACACAGTGATGATCTCAGGGACAGACCTGAAGAAAACATGTACAAGGGAAATATTATTAGTTTATTTGCAGAATGAAGACAAAACACTAAATACAGTTTCATGGCCTCTCATGGCTCTGGTGCACCATTGATCTGTCAATATTCTATATTTAACTGGAGTTTAGGTTGTTCAGATAATTATAAGTTCACTCAAGTATTAGTATTTTTCCAAAGTAAAAACAAAAATCTTAATATTTGTCCTTGCAAACAAGGAGATACCATGTGTCTAATGTTGGCAGTGACTGAGAGGGAAGCACACAGGCCTCAGGATCAATCTGTGTGAAGTTTGCATGTTTCTCTGGGTGGGTTTCCTCCGGGCGCTCCAGTTTAAACCTACAGCGGTCCTGACTGAGAGCGTCACCATGACTCCCAGTCACTGACCCCTGCTGCTGGTACTGGCCCTGGTGACGTCATAGGACTCAGCAGCAGGTGATGTACTTTACTGTCATTTAAACATAACAGGTTGGAATGGTTAGCCATGCTTCCAAATGCACGAGCTTAACAGCTGCACTCTGAAGCTGCTTTAAACATTATACTCAGTGTTTAACTTTTAAATCATGGAAACACTCCAGGTGCTACGCGTGTGCAGTACGCACATGTGTGTATCTGTGTGTAAATGTGTGTGTGTCACATACAGTTGTGTGTCTCTCTCCTCTTTGATCCTGGCTCTCTCCTCTTCCTCCTCTTGGCTCCTCTTTTCCTCCTCACACTCCGCTGTCGTCCGTCGCTCCTTCTTCAGGGACATGTTTAAAACCCTTTAGCTTTAGCACGGAGCTAACGCTAAGAAGACGTCCACAGAACGGGAGCGCGCACGTCACTGCGGTGCGTTCACGAACCTCGGAAACTCTCCAATATTTAACACCTTAGAACCCAGACGTATAAATGAGTAGAATTTGTGTGTGTGCTATTTTTGGTCGATGGGGATTGGTTAGAAGAGAAGAGTTAACATTACTGGAGAACCATTATTTGCAATGTAGCATATTAGCTACTTGTTTTTTGGGATTATACATTGGTTAATGCATTAAACCAAAAGGTTGTAATTCTTTTGCCAAAACCTTTGAACTTGATGCTGCCGTGACTGAGGACGTTACTGAGGTGTTGTTTTAACCTAACCACAGTTTTTACAATATCCCAGGAACGTCCTCAGTCTCAAAGTGAAGCTTCGATCCTTCTTCCCGAGAGCTGATGCGTTGAACCAACACCACTGAAGACACTGAAAACATTACATTTGATTTATTACAAACTAAGTAGCCTCAGACCACTTTGCATTTGTTAAACATAATATTTTACGGCTGTTGTATAAACGTTTCATCAGAGGACAGCTCTAAACTCTGATCCAGGTGTGATTTTCTGACTGAGCATCAGAGAAGGAAATTCTAATCCTCAGAAAACATTGTAACAGACATTAATAGTCACAGGTAAAAGCTCTGTCACAGACTGAACAGCTGAAAGGTGTCTCTCCAGTGTGAACTTTTTACAGTGTTCATTGAGAACTGTTATCGGAGAATGTTTTGTTGCAGACTGATCAGCTGTAAGGTCTCTCTCCAGTGTGAATGCGAATATGTTCCTGTAAATGCTGCATTTTCCTGAATATTTTACAGCAGAACGGACACTGGTGCGACTCCCCACGGTCTTCATCACTCCTCACGACAGATCTCCAGTCTTCATTAGAGGCAGAGGAGTCTGCGTCTCCCTGTGGCTCCTCTGCTTTTGGCTCCAAAGGCTCTTGTTTTGGCTCAAAGGGCTCGTCTGATGGATCAAAGGGCTCTTCCGTTGGATCAAAGGGCTCTTCCTTCACTCGCACAGTGATGAAATCAGGGACAACCCTGAAGAAGAAGAAACATGTACAATGTAAATATAATTAGTTTCTTTCCAGAATTAAGACAAGACACTAAATGCATTTTAATGGCCTCTTCTGGACCTGGACCTGGACCTGGACCTGACGCTCCACTGAACACCGTCAGGACTCAGCAGCAGGGGTCAAAAGCAGGTGATGAACTTTACTTTAACGTCATATAGACTTAAAAAGTTGAAATGGTTAGCCAAGCTTCAAAATGCACTAACAACATTCCGCTGCTGTTTCTGTGTGTAATTTAATGTTTTTTATTTAGAGTAACTATAATTTAAAAGGTAAATAGGAGCATTTTACAGAATTTTAGGAAAAAACTGCCTCTCCACTTTGTGAAAGACTGCACATGCGCAGTGCTCCCCTGCTTGTCCTCGTGCACGTTCTGTTTACAAGTCTCTGTCAGTCATCTCTCACTTTATGATGTGAACCTTTTCCACGATGTCAGACTCTATAGACCCAGAGAACTTCTACTGAGAGTGATTTGTCCAAACAGAACCCAGACTGTACCGGTCCAGGAGAAACTTGGCGACAGCAGCGTCCGTGGGAAGTCCGGCCTGAGCCTTCAGCGCCCTCCACCGAGTGAAAGAATCTCCCAGAAACACTCTGGTTTTGTTCCTTTCTTCTGAAGCTTTCCTCTTGTTCTGATAAACCTCGAACACGGTCTTTCTCTTACGACCCTCCGCCATTTTCAAAGTGCCCGGTGAAGACTGCAGCCCCTGGGGACGCGCACGTACACGTCACATATCTCCACAATAACAATTAGGACCAATAGTCTTGGTGATCCACCCGGAAAAAGAACTTCTTTAGCGCAGACTAAGCTAACCAGGAGACGTCCACTGAACGGGAGCGAGCACGTCACCGCGTTGCGTTCACGAACCTCGGAAACAGTCCAAATTTAACCCCGTAGAACTCAGACAATAAAATATATACAGTGCCTTGCGAAAGTATTCGGCCCCCTTGAACCTTTCAACATTTCGCCACATTTCAGGCTTCAAACATAAAGATGTAACATTTTAATTTTTTGTCATGAATCAACAACAAGTGGGACACAATCGTGAAGTGGAACGAAATTTATTGGAAAATTTAAACTTTTTTAACAAATAAAAAACTGAAAAGTGGGGCGTGCAATATTATTCGGCCCCTTTACTTTCAGTGCAGCAAACTCAGTCCAGAAGTTAAGTGAGGGTCTTTGAATGATCCAATGTTGTCCTAAATGACTGATGATGATAAATAGAATGCACCTGTGTGTAATCAAGTCTCCGTATAAATGCACCTTCTCTTTGATAGTCTCAGGGTTCTGTTTAAAGCACAGAGAGAACCATGAAGACAAAGGAACACACCAGGCAGGTCCGAGATACTGTTGTGGAGAAGTTTAAAGCCGGATTTGGATACAAAAAGATTTTCCAAGCTTTAAACATCTCAAGGAGCACTGTGCAAGCAATTATATTGAAATGGAAGGAGTATCAGACCACTGCAAATCTACCAAGACCCGGCCGTCCCTCCAAACTTTCATCTCAAACAAGGAGAAGACTGATCAGAGATGCAGCCAAGAGGCCCATGATCACTCTGGATGAACTGCAGATAACTACAGCTGAGGTGGGAGAGTCTGTCCATAGGACAACAATCAGTCGTGCACTGCACAAATCTGGCCTTTATGGAAGAGTGGCAAGAAGAAAGCCATTTCTCAAAGATATCCATAAAAAGTCTCGTTTAAAGTTTGCCACAAGCCACCTGGGAGACACACCAAACATGTGGAAGAAGGTGCTCTGGTCAGATGAAACCAAAATGGAACATTTTGGCCACAATGCAAAACGATATGTTTGGCGTAAAAGCAACACAGCTCATCACCCTGAACACACCATCCCCACTGTCAAACATGGTGGTGGCAGCATCATGCTTTGGGCCTGCTTTTCTTCAGCAGGGACAGGGAAGATGGCTAAAATTGATGGGAAGATGGATGGAGCCAAATACAGGACCACTCTGGAAGAAAACCTGTTGGAGTCTGCAAAAGACCTGAGACTGGGACGGAGATTTATCTTCCAACAAGACAATGATCCAAAACATAAAGCCAAATCTACAATGGAATGGTTCACAAATAGACGTATCCAGGTGTTAGAATGGCCAAGTCAAAGTCCAGACCTGAATCCAATCGAGAATCTGTGGAAAGAGCTGAAGACTGCTGTTCACAAACGCTCTCCATCCAACCTCACTGAGCTCCAGCTGTTTTGCAAGGAAGAATGGGCAAGAATTCCAGTCTCTCGATGTGCAAAACTGATAGAGACATACCCCAAGCAACTTGCAGCTGTAATTGCAGCAAAAGGTGGCGCTACAAAGTATTAGCGCAAGAGTTTTTTATTTGTTAAAAAAGTTTAAATTATCCAATAAATTTCGTTCCACTTCACGATTGTGTCCCACTTGTTGTTGATTCTTGACAAAAAATTAGATTTTTATATCTTTGTTTGAAGCCTGAAATGTGGCGAAATGTTGAAAGGTTCAAGGGGGCCGAATACTTTCGCAAGGCACTGTATGTAGAAAAATACATCTGAGCTATTTTTGCGATGGAGAAGGGTAAGAAAATAAAGTTTTTGAAGAGCAAATTTCAATGACCAAATTCGGAAATGTATCATATTTTAAGCAAATAGTTTAGTTATTTGCCAACACTTTGAACGTTATGCTGCTGTAACTGAGGACATCGTGTGGTTAAGTTAATACAATATCTTTATTAGTGAAGCGTCGATCCTTTTGGAGCTGATCTCGAAGCGTTGAACCAACACCACTGAAGACGCTGAAAACATTTTTTTTAATTACAAAATACGTTACTCTGACCACTTCGCATTTGTTAAACATAATATTCTACGGCTGCTGTATAAACGTTTCTACAAAAGACAGCTCTAAACTCTGAAGAAGGAGATTCTTCAATAACATCATAAACATTATAACAAACATTAATAGTCACAGCTTTTTATATTTGTTCTTTGAGCTTCACAAACTTTCGATAGTGTATTTCAACATAAAATACTCTCCTGTAAAGTTTCAGCACTGCTCAAATACAGTCATTTGCGTCCTAGCAGTGCTGAAGTTGGCTGGATGACATAGTGAACATGTGTTTCTGATCTCTTGGGTTCACAGAGATGACGTCACTTTGTTGCCTTGTTGTGGCCGAAGCTCTCACTCAGGCAGGCTCCATGGATCTGCAGCCCAATTTCGGGACGGCAACAACCTAGCAACCAACGAGCCAATCAGGAGCAGCCTTGGTCTGATCTCACCGGTAGTATACTCACTACATCTCATTTTTGACTAATCCGCTGAATGTGTTTTTATTTAGTTCCAATGTGAACCCTCCCATGTGCAATCAGAGTGCTCTTACGAGTAAACGCTTTGTCACAGACTGAACAGCTGAAAGGTTTCTCTCCAGTGTGCAATTTACCATGTGCAATAAGGTTACTCTTGATGGAAAACGTTTTGCTACAGACTGTGCAGCTGAAAGGTCTCTCTCCGGAGTGAACAACTTTCCGGTGTGTGACTAAATTCCCCTTTCGTGAAAAAGTCTTCTGACAGACGTCGCAGCGGTGAGGTTTCTCTCCCGTGTGAAGTTTGATGTGGTGTTTTAAGTTGGGCGTCTTCCCTTTGATCATCTTGTGGCAGAACGGGCACTGGTGCGACTCGGACTCGCCCGTCGTCGGCTCCTTGGAGTGGATTTGACTGTGAACCCGTAGATTACTCCGTTTGGCGAATGTTTTCTTGCAGATGGAGCAGAAGGGTCTCTCTCCGGTGTGGACAACTCGATGCGCAGTCAGAGAACTCTTGTGAGCAAATGTTTTGTTGCAGACTGAGCAGCTGTAAGGTCTCTCTCCGGTGTGAATCCTGACGTGGAGCTGGAGGTTTTGTTTCTCTCCTTTTATGATCTTGTCGCAGAATCGACACTGATGCGACTCGTCGTTGGGCAGGACTTTTCCCGTGTGAATTTTACCGTGTGCAAATAAATTTCTCTTTTTAGAAAAACTTTTCTTACAGACTGAACAGCTGTAAGGCTTCTCCCCAGGGTGAACTTTCCCATGTGCGTTGAGAGCACTCTTATGGGCGAATGTTTTGTGGCAGACTGAGCAGCTGTAAGGTCTCTCTCCAGTGTGAATTCTCATATGTTCCTGTAGATTTGTTAGCTTTCTTAAGGTCTTGGTGCAGAACGTGCACTGGTAGGACTCTCCTTCAGCTGTTCGGGCTGAGGTCCTGTCTCCATTGTTGACAGAGGTACTGGTCTCTGGAGCAGACGTGGAGGACAGGTCTGAGGTCTGTGCTGCCGTTCTCCTGGTCCTGGTCTGGTCTTGGTTGTGGTCTTCATCGCTTCTGGAGTCTTCATCAGAGTCAGAGTGGTCTGAGTCTCCCTCAGTCTCTGAGTCGGTCTGTGGTCCTCTCTGTGGTTCTCTCTGTGGTTCTCTCTGTGGTTCTCTCTGTGGTTCTCTCTGTGGTCCTCTCTGTGGTTCTCTCTGTGGTCCTCTCTGTGGTCCTCTCTGTGGTCCTCTCTGTGGTTCCTTTCCTTCTGACTTCACACCCACAGAGATTTGCTCCGGGACAAATCTGGAGAAGAAGAAAAACAGAGTAGAATCTTTGCAGAAACTAAAACTTTTGCGACACAGCGTTTTTTGTTACTGTTTTTGAAGCGGGAGAAATCTCACCACAAAAGTCTGATTTATTGACCAAATTAAAATACTTATTGATACATTTAGCACTTCCTCGTTCTGTGGCTTGAGTAACCAATCAGATGACATCAGCTGCATCTACCAGTAGTTAATGGTACAATTTTTATTTGTACAGAGGCAATAAACATCAGCCAAGAGGAGAGAGGCATTGTACCGGGCTTTAGCAGCACTGCTAATTTACAGCTGTAGTCCCTGCAAATCATATTACTCTAATATTCTTCAGCTCCCATATTATTAAGTATGTATTGAATTGTAATAACTGTATTAACCCAGTGACAGTGCAAACTACAGACTGTCCCTTTATGTTTACAGTTTGTGAAGAGGTATTTATACAGAATCAGAATCATGCTACTACCACTGCCCAAATACAACACTGACACAATTATAGTTAAAATGTGTGTTTCTTTTCTAATAATGACTCTTTAAATGCTTGTTTTGTGAAGCACTTTGAGTTGCTCTGTGCATAAACTGTGCTGTAAATGTAAATAAACTTGCCTATGTGTGGTATGTATATGTGTATGTGTGTGTATATGTGTGTGTGTGTGTTACCTACAGTTGTGTGTCTCTCTCCTCTTTCACCCTCGCTCTGTCCTCCTGGTTCCTCTTCTCTGTGGAGCGACTGTTCTTCTTCAGGGACATGTTTACAGCCCTTTAGCTTTAGCACAGGGCTAACCACAAACAGACGTCCTCCAAACAGGAGCGCGCACGTCACCGCGTTGCGTTCATGAACCTCGGAATCTCGGATGTCAGACTTTCAAACAGTGAACAATCACAAACAAACATGCTCTGACCCCAACATTCGTTTATTTAAAATATTTGTGAAATCTTCTCGAGCTCTTTGACAGAAAACTCTATTCACAAATGGCCTTAAACTGGGGAACCTCACTTTCAAACCGTCAATAAGTTAACAAGGCATTTGCATGGATTTATTATAATATCTATGTAATAAAATAATAATTATAAGGCCTCTTTAATAAATTAATAAAACTAACTACTTCCTCGATCAGACTGTAAGGTCTCTCTACAGTGTGAATTCTTATGTTTGTTAGCTTTCTTCTGACAGAGAGAGCACTGCTGTGACCCCCCCTTCAGCTGTTCAGGCGGAGGTCCTTCTGCATTGTTCACTTCAAAACTTAACAAATACAACTGTCACTAGTTCCTTGCTCGGATTTTTTTTTTTTACATCTATGACTTTCACGTGGAGGAACTTTTGGCCTCTGTCTCTCGGGTCTCTCTGGTCTCTTTCCTGTGTGCGCTTTAGCATGTGAAGGTAGACCTGTGGGAACAGTTCTGTCACACGCTGAGCAGCTGTAGGGCTTCTCTCTACTGTGCCAAAGTAGTGTGCCCTTACGTGGAAAGGTTTTGTTACAGGTGGAACAGCTGAAAGGTCTGAATGGTTTTTCCCCGGTGTGCTGCCTCAGGTGACACTCGGATGGACGGGTAAGGTTATTTGTGCTTCTGTAACTGTGTTTGAAAAATAATAATTTATTTCTAGTTGAAGTCGATGATAGACTTTTACAAACAGGTGTGATGCAGGTTCTTTTGTTCAGACACAGCGGACACCAGCTTCTGCCTCAGTCTCATCTCCAGCTTAGAAAAGTAGAAAGCATCAGTAAACATCAGTAAACATCAGTAAACAGTTCTTCTGTGGTTTGGTGCAGATCTGGGAGAAGAGGAAAAGGTCTGAGGCGGTGGCATTAAAATAAAAATCCTTTATTATCGTAGGAACTCTTGGATCTTCATTGAGGCAAGTAACAAGTAACTACAGTGCCTTGCGAAAGTATTCGGCCCCCTTGAACCTTTCAACATTTCGCCACATTTCAGGCTTCAAACAAAGATATCACATTTTAATTTTTTGTCATGAATCAACAACAAGTGGGACACAATCGTGAAGTGGAACAAAATTTATTGGATAATTGAAACTTTTTTAACAAATAAAAAACTGAAAAGTGGGGCGTGCAATATTATTCGGCCCCTTTACTTTCAGTGCAGCAAACTCAGTCCAGAAGTTCAGTGAGGATCTTTGAATGATCCAATGTTGTCCTAAATGACTGATGATGATAAATAGAATGCACCTGTGTGTAATCAAGTCTCCGTATAAATGCACCTGCTCTTTGATAGTCTCAGGGTTCTGTTTAAAGCGCAGAGAGAACCATGAAGACAAAGGAACACACCAGGCAGGTCTGAGATACTGTTGTGGAGAAGTTTAAAGCCGGATTTGGATACAAAAATATTTCCCAAGCTTTAAACATCTCAAGGAGCACTGTGCAAGCAATTATATTGAAATGGAAGGAGTATCAGACCACTGCAAATCTACCAAGACCCGGCCGTCCCTCCAAACTTTCATCTCAAACAAGGAGAAGACTGATCAGAGATGCAGACAAGAGGCCCATGATCACTCTGGATGAACTGCAGATAACTACAGCTGAGGTGGGAGAGTCTGTCCATAGGACAACAATCAGTCGTGCACTGCACAAATCTGGCCTTTATGGAAGAGTGGCAAGAAGAAAAGCATTTCTCAAAGATATCCATAAAAAGTCTTGTTTAAAGTTTGCCACAAGCCACCTGGGAGACACACCAAACATGTGGAAGAAGGTGCTCTGGTCAGATGAAACCAAAATCGAACTTTTTGGCCACAATGCAAAACGATATGTTTGGCGTAAAAGCAACACAGCTCATCACCCTGAACACACCATCCCCACTGTCAAACATGGTGGTGGCAGCATCATGCTTTGGGCCTGCTTTTCTTCAGCAGGGACAGGGAAGATGGCTAAAATTGATGGGAAGATGGATGGAGCCAAATACAGGACCATTCTGGAAGAAAACCTGTTGGAGTCTGCAAAAGACCTGAGACTGGGACGGAGATTTATCTTCCAACAGGACAATGATCCAAAACATAAAGCCAAATCTACAATGGAATGGTTCACAAATAGACGTATCCAGGTGTTAGAATGGCCAAGTCAAAGTCCAGACCTGAATCCAATCGAGAATCTGTGGAAAGAGCTGAAGACTGCTGTTCACAAACGCTCTCCATCCAACCTCACTGAGCTCCAGCTGTTTTGCAAGGAAGAATGGGCAAGAATTCCAGTCTCTCGATGTGCAAAACTGATAGAGACATACCCCAAGCGACTTGCAGCTGTAATTGCAGCAAAAGGTGGCGCTACAAAGTATTAGCGCAAGGGGGCCGAATAATATTGCACGCCCCACTTCATTTTTTTATTTGTTAAAAAAGTTTAAATTATCCAATACATTTCTTTCCACTTCACGATTGTGTCCCACTTGTTGTTGATTCTTGACAAAAAATCACATTTTTATATCTTTATGTTTGAAGACTGAAATGTGGCGAAATGTTGAAAGGTTCAAGGGGGCCGAATACTTTCGCAAGGCACTGTAACCCAAGACCCAAGAGTTCCTACAATAATTAAGGATTTTTTAAAGATGTACAGGAGGATTTTCTACTTTTGGGTGGATCATCAAGACTATTGGTCCTCCCAACTGTCAATCATTCTGCTGATACGTGCTCGTCCAATAAGAGCAGAGAGTTTGGTTCTTTCCTAAAATGTATGAAAATCCTCCTGTATCCAGACCAGTACCTTTAAGTCCTGTGCCTCGGACCTCTTCTTCCTGGTTTTCCACTTTTCCACAGATCCTTGAAGAGCACCTCATGTTTACACTACATTTTATGATCCCTGAACTGTTTATTATTTATTATTTTTATTTTTTAGGGAGAATCCGTTGTTTACCGTGAGCTTACGTAGCCTTCAGAGTTGCGTGGGTTCGTTTATGACACGGATCGTCAAAAGGATTATCGTCTGGATGTGTTTTTCTGTGAGCTTTCAGAGATTCACTCTTGGTAAATGATTTGCTGCACACTGAACAGCTGTAGGGTCTTTCTCCCGTGTGCACTCGACTATGTCTCACGAGATGATTCTTAAAAACAAATGTCTTATCACAGGCTGAGCAGCTGTAAGGTCTCTCTCCGGTGTGCGCCTTGAGATGTGAACGTAGACCCGGCATCGAGGCAAAGGTTTTGCCGCACGTCGAGCAGCTGAAGGGTTTCTCTCCCGTGTGTTTTCTACTGTGTAAAAGTAAAGATCCTTTATGGGCAAAGGTCTGGTCACAGGTGGAGCAGCTGTAAGGTCTCTCCCCTGTGTGTGTTCTTGTGTGTGACCGTAGAGTGGACTTACTGGAAAAGGTCTTGCTGCATACTGAACAGCAGTAGGGTTTCTCCCACGTGTGCTGCCTCATATGTATCTTCAGAGAGCCCACGTAAGCGAACTCCTTGTCACAGACGGAGCAGCAGATCTTTTCCCCGGTGTGCTCAGTCATGTGACGCTTCAGAGCCATGTGGTACAGAAACTCCTTTTCGCAGACTGAGCAGCTGTAGGGTGTTTCGCCTGTGTGCTTCCTTCTGTGATGATTGAGAGAATGCACGTGTGAAAAGCTCTCGTTGCAGACGTCGCAGCTGTAAGGCCTCTCTCCGGAATGCGTCCTTAAATGAGAATGCAGGTTGGACTTGGACGAGAATGTCTTGCTGCAGGCTGAACAGCTGAAAGGTTTCTCGCCGCGGTGTAGACTCAGGTGGCGCTTCAGTGTAGCGGCTTCTGTAAATTTCTTGTCACAGAGAGAGCAGCTAAAGGGTTTTTCATCTGTGTGCTTTCTCCTGTGAGTGATGAGAGCGACCTGATGGGAGAATGTTTTACTGCAGACTGAGCAGCTGTAAGGTCGCTCTCCAGTGTGTATTACGCCGTGTACAACTAAATTTCTCTTATGAGCAAAGGTTTTGTTACAGACTGAACAACTGTAGGGTTTTTCTCCGGTGTGGACTTTCCCATGCGAGACCAGACTGCTCTTATGGGCAAATGTTTTGTTACAGACTGAACAGCTGTAAGGCTTCTCCCCAGTGTGAATTCGTATGTGTGCTCGTAAATTTGGTTTCTTTCCTTTTATTCTTTTGTTACAGAAAGGGCACTGGTAGGACTCTCCTTCAGCTGTTCGGGCTGAGGTCCGGTCTCCATTGTTGACAGCGCTGGTCTCTGGAGCAGACGTGGAGGACAGGTCTGAGGTCTGTGCTGCTGTTCTCCTGGTCCTGGTCTGGTCTTGGTTCTTGTGGTCTTCATCGCTCCTCACTGGAGCTCTCCGGTCTTCATCAGAGTCCGAGGAATGGTCTGTGTTTCCCTCGGTCTCTGAGTCGGACTGTGGTTCTGCCCTGAGCTCTTCTCCCTGTGGCTCCTCTGCTTTTAGTTCTAAGGGCTCTTCTTCTGACTTCACACACACAGAGACGAACGCCGGGACAGATCTGGAGGAGCAGAAACATAATAATGTGAATCTAAGAAAGCCGGATTCAAAATGATTGTCTTAATTTAAGTTGTTCCAAAACATAACACAAAATAGTCGTTGTAAAAGAATAATAAATAAAACACACAAAAATCAAGCCTCTTTCATCTGCATCTTTGACCTGTCTCCCCCAATCGACAGCCTCAGTCCTGGGTCTACAGCCTCAGTCCTGGATCTACAGCCTCAGTCCTGGGTCTACAGCCTCAGTCCTGGGTCTACAGCCTCAGTCCTGGGTCTACAATCTCAGTCCTGGGTCTACAGCCTCAGTCCTGGGTCTACAGCCTCAGTCCTGGGTCTACAGCCTCAGTCCTGGGTCTACAGCCTCAGTCCTGGGTCTACAGCCTCTCCTGGGTCTACAGCCTCAGTCCTGGGTCTACAATCTCAGTCCTGGGTCTACAGCCTCAGTCCTGGGTCTACAGCCTCAGTCCTGGGTCTACAGCCTCAGTCCTGGGTCTACAATCTCAGTCCTCGGTCTACAGCCTCAGTCCTGGGTCTACAGCCTCAGTCCTGGGTCTACAGCCTCAGTCCTGGATCTACAGCCTCAGTCCTGGGTCTACAGCCTCAGTCCTGGGTCTACAGCCTCAGTCCTGGGTCTACAGCCTCAGTCCTGGGTCTACAATCTCTCCTGGGTCTACAGCCTCAGTCCTGGGTCTACAATCTCAGTCCTCGGTCTACAGCCTCAGTCCTGGGTCTACAGCCTCAGTCCTCGGTCTACAGCCCCAGTCCTGGGTCTACAGCCTCAGTCCTCGGTCTACAGCCTCAGTCCTGGGTCTACAGACTCCATGTGACTGAGAGGTAGCTTTGGAGCCAGGGCAGCTGTGGCTACAGGAACATACTATAACAGTGTGTAAAGTGAAAGAAGAATCTTTTGGCGCCACCTGCAGGTGACACACAGTAAGTAATCTTTATTTATATACCGCCTTTCACAGACCAGAGTCACAAAGCGGTTTACAATTGTTATTTTTGGGCACTTGTCTCTCACTCCACACAGAGATGGGAGCGGGGTCGCCGAACAGGAGGCGCATGCCAGACCTATTGTACATATTTTTAGTGGTAGGGGAAACCGGAGGAAACCTACTCAGACACGGGGAGAACATGCAAACTCCACTCAGAAAGGCCCTGGTCCGGCCGGGATTCGAACCCAGGACCTTCTTGCTGAGAGGCGAGAGTGCTATCCACTCAGCCACCGTGCCGCAGTGGGGCAGCTGCGGTTGTAAAGAGACAACTGTGGTTGTGTCCTTTGGCAAGACACTTCACCCACAAGCAGTTTCAATAGACTGAATAAACACACAGATACAGATCAATCTCTGTAGCAGTGTGTGAAAAGTGTGTAACAACGAGAAATGCTGAGTCTGTGCATGTGCCATTCACCTGTTCTGATAATAATAATAATAATCCACTAGTCACTTGACCTGCTGCTGTTATTACTATTGTTTATTCTAGTCATATTCTCTGCTGCTACAGTACAATAAACATCTGTAAATACCTCCTGATGCCGCAGACTAGTGTTTATTCTGATGTGACTGATCTTTGAACCAAGTTAATTATATAACTAATATAACTGCAGAGTTTTACATTATTATTTTATTCTATACGATCTTAAATAATATTTTTGATGTGTGCATAACCTGAGTCTTATTTCTCCTTCTATTCTTCTGTTCTGTGCAACTTTGACGAATAAAGGTTGATATTTATAACTTATATTTACAGACTATTATAACAGTGCGACATACTGCTCCGTGTTGGGTTCCTCCGGGTCCTCCGGGTCGTCCTTCACGCGCACAGTCTCCTCCAGCTCCTCCCTCTGCAGCTCACACTCCGCTCTCAGTCGCTCCTTCTTCCAGGACATCGTTTACGAACCTGCTTTAGCTTTAGCACATAGCTAACCATGCTAACCCGATGCTAATCACAAAGAGGCGTGGCGCTCTGGGGTTGCCAGGTAGTTACAGCGAAGCAAGCGAAATACTCAAAACAAGAGAATACATAATTATACAAATAGATAAACAAAAGTCAACGCCACGACAACAACTTTTAATAAAACTGGTGAATTACTTTTAGTCTCGAGTCTAGGGCTGTAAGTCAGGATTATTTTCCTAAAAGATTCATTCACTGATTATTGTTTTGATTAAATCTTTTACTTGTGAGAAAGCCACAAACACAATAAATGTACATGAAAAATGAATACATTATTTTTTTTATTTTCAAAGCTGAACAAACTCTCAAAAGAACTTGAGGATTAAAAAACAAAGAAGGCACCACTGAACCGCCTTAATCAACATCAAATATTTGTTTTCATTTCACACGAGCAAAGAGAGAAACAGATTTATGCTAAAATACTAAATATAAAAGTAGCTTAATCACTGTTTTGACGATTAAGATCCCACACTTTAAGATAAAAATGTTCTACTCAAACCAGAGCTGCTTCTTCTTCAGAGAGATACGTTTGTGTGTGACTCCAAACCTCCACATTGTGCGTTTTGTGTGAACATAGAACGACGTGTGTGAACAGAACCCAAACTAAAGTGAAGTGACCCTGAAATAAAACTAAAACCAGTGGAGTGTTGTGGAGTGTTGTGGATATTTCTGTTTGAGTCACTCGTTTGTGTTTTCAGTGCGGAGCTCAGTGTTGTGAAGTTTAGAATGTATTTGTAGATTCCACTTCCTGGTGAAGGCTCGCCCACAGGCCGCACAGAGGTGAGGTTTCTCTCCTGAGTGAGTTCTGCTGTGTCGGTTTAGATCAGACTTGGCAGAGAAACTTTTGTCACAGTCTGGACAGCTGTAAGGTTTCCCTTCTTTGTGGACTTTGATGTGTTTATATAGATTCGAACTGTGAGGGAAACTCTTGCCACAGGTGGAACAGCTGTAAGGTCTGTCTCCGGTGTGAATGCGGCTGTGTTTACGTAGATCATACTTGAAATAGAACCTTCTGTTACAGACCGAACAGCTGTAAGGTTTCTCTCCTGTGTGAACTCTGCAGTGTCTTTGTAGACTAGACTTGTGAATGAACCTTTTGTCACAGACTGAACAGCCGTAAGGTTTCTCTCCTGTGTGTCCTCTGTATGTCCTAGTTCCGCTGGTCCCTGCTGCAGACGTGGACCACGGAGCCGAGCTTTGAGCCGCGTTGTTTCTGTGGCTCATCTCGTCTTCATCATCGGAGCAGCTGCTCAGTACAGTCCAGTCTTCATCAGAGTCAGAACAATGGTCTGCTCCCCATCTGGGCTCAAAGGGCTCTTCTTTAGGATCAAAGGGCTCTTCTTTAGGATCTAAGGGTTCTTCTTTGGACTCAAAAGACTCCACTTTAGGATCAAAGGGCTCTTCTTTAGGATCAAAGGGTTCTTCTTTGGGCTCAAAAGGCTCCACATTAGGATCAAAGGGCTCTTCTTTGGGCTCAAAAGGCTCCACATTAGGATCAAAGGGCTCTTCTTTAGGATCAAAGGGCTCTTCTTTAGGATCAAAGGGTTCTTCTTTGGGCTCAAAAGGCTCCACATTAGGATCAAAGGGCTCTTCTTTAGGATCAAAGGGCTCTTCTTTAGGATAAAAGGGTTCTTCTTTGGGATCAAAGGGCTCTTCTTTGGGATCAAAGGGCTCTTCTTTGGGATCAAAGGGCTCTTCTTTGGGATCAAAAGGTTCTTCTTTGGGATCAAAGGGCTCTTCTTTGGGATCAAAGGGCTCTTCTTTGGGATCAAAGGGCTCTTCTTTGGGATCAAAGGGCTCTTTGGCTGATGGCATAATTTCATTGATAAAATCTGGGACAAACCTGAAAAACAAAATAATGAACCACTCACTGAGAAACAACTGGACTCCTGCGACTGTGAGGCCTGATGGAGAGAGAGAGAGAGAGAGAGAGAAAGTGAGAGAGAGTGAGAGAGAGAGTGTGTGAGTGTGTGAGTGAGTGAGAGAGAGTGTGTGAGTGTGTGAGTGAGAGAGAGAGAGAGAGAGAGAGTGTGTGTGAGTGAGAGAGAGAGAGAGAGAGAGTGTGTGAGTGAGAGAGAGAGAGAGAGAGTGTGTGAGTGTGTTACATACAGTTGTGTGCCTCTCTCCTCTTCCTCCTCTTTGATCCTGGCTCTCTCCTCTTCCTCCTCTTTGATCCTGGCTCTCTCCTCTTCCTCCTCTTTGATCCTGGCTCTCTCCTCTTTGATCCTGGCTCTCTCCTCTTCCTCCTCTTTGATCCTGGCTCTCTCCTCTTTGATCCTGGCTCTCTCCTCTTCCTCCTCTTGGCTCCTCTTCTTTGTGGAGAGACACACTTCCTCCTCACTCTCCGCTGTTATCAGCCGCTCCTTCTTCAGGGACATGTTTTTTACAAGCCTTTAGTTTTAGCAGCAATGCTAACCACAAAGAGACAACAGTGTCCAGGGCTGACACTCCTTCATGAAGCAGAGGAGATATTAGAGAGGCGTTTGGCCCCAGAGTTTAAGTGACAGGTGTCTCCTCAGTGTCACAGACTGCAGCAGTGCTCAGACACCTGTCTCCTGATGATCCACCTGTGAGGGGGCGGGGCTTCTCTGCAGAGGTCAACAAAGATCAACTAACCAGTGCCCAGCCTGACTCCGCCCACATGAACAGCCTGACTCCACCCACATAAACTGCCTGACTCCACCCACATGAACATTTGAAAGTTGTTTCTAAAAAGCGCGCTGCCTGAGGACCAAGGGACAAGAAGGGGGGCTTAGAACTGGGCGTGGTCTGGGCTGTGATTGACAGCTCACTTGTCACACATAAAAAGCAGACAGTTGTCATTACCATTAAAGCAGTAGTTTACACCAGAAAGTCTCATTCCTTTGTTTACACACTAAGATAATTGTAAAGCTACACACCTGAACCTAAGACACTGAATTATCTCAGCAGCAGTGGCTTTAACTCATGTAATTTTATTTTAATCCACCAGATGTCGCCAGAATACTCCAACTGCTGCTGGGGCGTGTGTGAGAGTTGGATGGGTTTATAACACTGGCTCAGAGTGACGTCACACATAACAACTGACGTCACACATAACAACTGACGTCACACATAACAACTGACGTCACACATAACAACTGACGTCACACACATAACAACTGACATCACACACATAACAACTGACATCACACACATAACAACTGACATCACACACACCAACTGACGTCACACACACCAACTGACGTCACACACACCAACTGACGTCACACACACCAACTGACGTCACACACACCAACTGACGTCACACACACCAACTGACGTCACACACACCAACTGACGTCACACACACCAACTGACGTCACACACACCAACTGACGTCACACACACCAACTGACATCACACACACCAACTGACGTCACACACACCAACTGACGTCACACACATGACGTCAGACACACCAACTGACATCACACACACACCAACTGACGTCACACACATGACGTCAGACACACCGACTGACGTCACACACACCAACTGACGTCACACACATGACGTCAGACACACAAACTGACGTCACACACACCATCTGACGTCACACACACCAACTGACGTCACACACACACACCACCTGACGTCACACACACCAACTGACGTCACACACACCAACTGACGTCACACACACCAACTGACGTCACACACACCAACTGACGTCACACACACCAACTGACGTCACACACACCAACTGACGTCACACACACCAACTGACGTCACACACACCAACTGACGTCACACACACCAACTGACATCACACACACACACCACCTGACGTCACACACACCGACTGACGTCACACACACCCAACTGACGTCACACACATGACGTCACACACACCAACTGACATCACACACACCAACTGACGTCACACACACCAACTGACGTCACACACACCAACTGACGTCACACACACCAACTGACGTCACACACACCAACTGACGTCACACACACCAACTGACGTCACACACACCAACTGACGTCACACACACCAACTGACGTCACACACACCAACTGACATCACACACACCAACTGACATCACACACACCAACTGACGTCACACACACCAACTGACGTCACACACACCAACTGACATCACACACACACCAACTGACATCACACACACCAACTGACGTCACACACACCAACTGACGTCACACACACCAACTGACATCACACACCAACTGACGTCACACACACCAACTGACGTCACACACACCAACTGACATCACACACACACCAACTGACATCACACACACCAACTGACGTCACACACACCAACTGACGTCACACACATGACGTCACACACACCAACTGACATCACACACACCAACTGACGTCACACACACACCAACTGACATCACACACACACCAACTGACATCACACACACACCAACTGACGTCACACACACCAACTGACATCACACACACACCAACTGACATCACACACACCAACTGACGTCACACACACCAACTGACGTCACACACATGACGTCACACACACCAACTGACATCACACACACCAACTGACGTCACACACATGACGTCACACACACCAACTGACATCACACACACCAACTGACGTCACACACACACCAACTGACATCACACACACACCAACTGACATCACACACACACCAACTGACGTCACACACACACCAACTGACGTCACACACACCTGGGGTCGTGCACTGACTTGAAATTGATGCTTAGAAAATCTGTTTTGGTGAAACCACATAGACTGACATTTTGGTTATGGGACAGCGCCCCCTGGTGGGCAGGTGGAAAGCTGTGTTGCTAACGCTCAGTCCAGCAGTGGTACTTCTGAGTGAAAAGAGTCAAAACTATGGATGTAGAGAAGCTAGTAAGAAGAAAAGAACTTGTTGCAAATCTGCAACGCCTGGAGAGGGTTGGGATTGGACAGTGTCTCGTGGGCTGATTTGTTCACATTTTTAAAGACTCTCTCAGTTCCATTTCCAAACACTGTGCTCATCATGAAAAGTTAGAAACCTGAGCTTTAACTCAGGTCTCTCTACGGTTCAAATGAAATACTCGGATGAACTTTCATGTTGTAAGTTTGTAAGTTTAAGGTTTCGTCAACGCATCCTTCAAACCCAGAAGTGCAACAGTGGAGTTCTCACACACACACACACCCACATACACCCACATACAAACACACACACACACACAGTTGGGAAATAGGAAGTGATAAAACACATAAACTGCTTCGAACAGTCGGTATCACTTAGTTCTCGACCTTTTCCGTCATCTGTGGAGGTGAGTCATGTGACCAGATCTGTTCTAATTCATGTAGTGGTCGTTGGTGAAAGATAGATATTTTTATTAAAACTTATATTTAACCAGGAAAGTCCAAGTACCCATTACAGATTATAAAAACAGTTATATTTCAACGAGGACGTCTTAGATTCTCTCAATCTGGAACAAAGTTTAGATAATGTAAAGTTTAGGTTATGTTTACGTGATGCTAACCTCACAGTACGATGTCTTCTCATTCGCCTCATTTTAATTCAATGTATTTTTGTATCGCCCTAAACCACAGCAGTAGTTATCCCTGAGGACTTTATAAAACTACTTTGGCTTTTAAAATAATATCTTTGGTTGAAGATAAACAGAGAAACAAGTGTGAAAAACTCTCTCGGTCTGTTCCTCCCTAAGCTGCCACCAGAGGGAGACATTCGGGTTATTTAGCGTTTTTTTCTCTCCAACTTTGATAATTACCAGCTGCAAGAACAGACCTGCAATTGTAAAGAATGTGATTTAACCTGAGAGATTTCTAAAACTGATTCACTTACTGTCACGAGGTGGGAAGGAGGAGGACTCAAAATGCGAGAATGCCAAAATAAAGATTTAATAAAATAAAGTCCAAGGTAAAAACAAAACTCAACATCTAAAATACGGAACCAGGAGCACAAAATCAGGAACAGGACGAAACAGAAGTAGACAATACAATGGACCAGCCACAAGAGGAGGAGCACAGGGTAATTATAGACAGAGACACAGGTGAAACACATCAGGGCGGGGCAGACAATCAAGACACAGGAAACAGGACGTCAAAGTCAAACTAAAAACAAAGCACAGAGAACAGATATCAAAATAAAGCTAAAGTCCAAAATAAAATCCACACCATGACAGTACCCCCCCTCCAAGGGACAGCTCCCAGATGTCCCAAGAACAAAAGCGAGGCAGGGAGGGCGGAGGGGGTCTGGAGGACAGGCCAGGGGCAGTTCAGAGGCCAGAACATGCAGGGGCAGGAGCTGAAGCCCAGTGGTGACCTTCCACACGGAACTGGCTCACCCCGGGCGGAGACAAATGCCCGGCGGTGACGACAGACAGGAACAAAACCACCCCAGACGGAACTCATGTCTGGCGGTGGCAACAGGCGAAGGGAAGGAGAGGTCATCAAAGGGTATCAGGCGGACACAGGTGGGGAAATCCAGGCAGACGGGAACAATCATGCCAGGACTCCACTGGGTACCTCTCTCGTGGGACAGGGGGAGGAAACAGGACCACCCCGGACGGAGATCAATGCCCGGCGGTGGCGCATGGACAAAAAAACCACCCCAGACGGAATTCTTGCCTGGCGGTGGCTCGAGGTAGCAGGTAGAGGCAGGCAGTGGAGATGGCAGAGAAAAAAAAAACAAATAAAAACTTGGTGGCAAACTGGGAGCAGGTGTGGGTGGAAAAAAATAAGCATTCCGCAGAGTCCAAATGTGGCTGGTCCATTCTGTCACGAGGTGGGAAGGAGGAGGACTCAAAATGCGAGAATGCCAAAATAAAGATTTAATAAAATAAAGTCCAAGGTAAAAACAAAACTCAACATATAAAATACGGAACCAGGAGCACAAAATCAGGAACACAAAATCAGGAACAGGACAGAACAGAAGTAGACAATACAATGGACCAGCAACAAGAGGAGAGGAGCACAGGGTAATTATAGACAGAGACACAGGTGAAACACATCAGGGCGGGGCAGGCAATCAAGACAGGGAAACAGGACGTCAAAGTCAAACTAAAAACAAAGCACAGAGAACAGATATCAAAATAAAGCTAAAGTCCAAAATAAAATCCACACCATGACACTTACGCTACTTTTCTCTAAACTAATACATGCTAATGCTAATTATTGCTAAATGTAGCTGTCTTCCTATTTAGTTTTGACGTCTTTAGTCTCTGAGTCTGCGATGTCCGAGTCTGCGATGTCCGAGTCTGCGATGTCCGAGTCTGCGAAGTCCGAGTCTGTGAACCTCCAGGATACTGTGGTTCCCGGTCCCTCATTGGCGGCTCCTCCATACTCCGCCCCTCAGTCCTCGGATCCAGGAGCCTTCAGTCCCGGGGCAGAGCTCCCCACAGACCAGACCGGACCTCCTCCTCCGTACTCTGCTCTGGCTCCACATCTGTGCGAAGAAAAAGGACTGGGTTCATGTGAGACTTTCCCAGAACCAGGACCGAACCCAGACCTCTGCCCCGACGAGGCGGCTCTGACCCCGTCTGCGTTTGACGACAAAACTGTGAGGAGAGCCTTTGTCCGGAAGGTAAGATCCATGGCAGGGATGTCAGACTGGTTTTGGATGGGGCCAAATTTAAAAACTTAAGAAAAGTTTGGGGCCAGAGGTATAAAAGTCTTTTGACAAATATGGACGTACTTGACGTGAGTTATTTTATAGTCTATAATAATAATAATAACTAGAAACTTGCAATGGCTGAAGCCATTGCGATTGACTGCGGAACAGATCTAATGTGGAAATCTGCTAAAAAAAATCCTTGAAATCCTTTAAAAGGCCTTGAAACTGTTAAAATACTTGATAGATATTTGAAACTCCTGAAGTCCTTGAAATTGTTGAAACCTTTAAACTCCTGAAATCCTTGAAACTGTTGAAACATTGAAACTCCTGAAATCCTTGAAACTTTTTTAAACCTGGAAACTGTTGAAAGTGTGGAAACTCCTGAAATCCTTGAACCTCCTGATATCCTTGAAACTGGTTAAATTCTTAAACAGTTGAAATCCTTGAAACTACTGAATGTATTGAAAGTGTCCTTGAAACTGAAAAATCCCCTCACCGCTGAAACAATTTGGTTCCTGTAACTAAGGAAACCTGGTCTGTGGTCATTATCTGGTGGTGGTCTGAGTCTTCGTTTGGGTCTTGGTCTGGTGGTATAATGCAACCTATTAGGTTGCATTATACTGGTTTACATGGAAAAATCCCTATTAGGTTGCATTATACTGGTTTACATGGAAAAATCCCTATTAAGTTGCATTATACTGGTTTACATGTAAAAACCCCTATTAAGTTCCATTATACTGGTTTACATGTAAAAACCCCCATTAAGTTCCATTATACTGGTTTACATGTAAAAAACCCTATTAAGTTCCATTATACTGGTTTACATGTAAAAAACCCCTATTAAGTTGCATTATACTGGTTTACATGGAAAAATCCCCATTAAGTTGCATTATACTGGTTTACATGAAAAAAACCCTATTAAGTGGCATTATACTGGTTTACATGAAAAAAACCCTATTAAGTTGCATTATACTGGTTTACATGGAAAAATCCCTATTAAGTTGCATTATACTGGTTTACATGGAAAAAACCCTATTAAGTTGCATTATACTGGTTTACATGTAAAAACCCCTATTAAGTTGCATTATACTGGTTTACATGGAAAAATCCCCATTAAGTTGCATTATACTGGTTTACATGTAAAAAAAACCCTATTAAGTTGCATTATACTGGTTTACATGGAAAAATCCCTATTAAGTTGCATTGTACTGGTTTACATGGAAAAATCCCTATTAAATTGCATTGTACTGGTTTACATGGAAAAATCCCTATTAAGTTGCATTATACTGGTTTACATGTAAAAACCCCTATTAAGTTGCATTATACTGGTTTACATGGAAAAAACCCTATTAAGTTCCATTATACTGGTTTACATGTTAAAAAAACCCTATTAAGTTGCATTATACTGGTTTACATGGAAAAATCCCCATTAAGTTGCATTATACTGGTTTACATGAAAAAAACCCTATTAAGTTGCATTATACTGGTTTACATGAAAAAACCCTATTAAGTTGCATTATACTGGTTTACATGGAAAAATCCCTATTAAGTTGCATTATACTGGTTTACATGGAAAAATCCCTATTAAGTTGCATTATACTGGTTTACATGGAAAAATCCCTATTAGGTTTGCATTAAAAAAAACCCTATTAAGTTGCATATACTGGTTTACATGGAAAAATCCCCATTAAGTTGCATTATACTGGTTTACATGAAAAATCCCCTATTAAGTTGCATTATACTGGTTTACATGAAAAAAACCCTATTAAGTTGCATTATACTGGTTTACATGGAAAAATCCCTATTAAGTTGCATAATACTGGTTTACATGGAAAAATCCCCATTAAGTTGCCATTATACTGGTTTACATGAAAAAAACCCCTATTAAGTTGCCATTATACTGTTTACATGGAAAAATCCCTATTAAGTTGCATTATACTGGTTTACATGGAAAAAAACCCTATTAAGTTGCATTAATACTGGTTTACATGTAAAAACCCCTATTAAATTATTTGTCATTATACTGGTTATATGTACATGGAAAAATCCCCATTAAGTTGCATTATACTGGTTTACATGGAAAAATTCCCTATTAAGTTGCATTATACTGGTTTACATGGAAAAAAACCCTATTAAGTTGCATTATACTGGTTTACATGGAAAAAAAAAAAACCCTATTAAGTTGCATTATACTGGTTTACATGGAAAAATCCCTATTAAGTTGCATTATACTGGTTTTACATGGATGAAAAAATCCCTATTAAGTTGCATTTATACTGGTTTACATGGAAAAAACCCTATTAAGTTGCATTATACTGGTTTACATGGAAAAATCCCTATTAAGTTGCATAATACTGGTTTACATGGAAAAATCCCCATTAAGTTGCATTATATCTGGTTTACATGAAAAAATCCCTATTAAGTTGCATTATACTGGTTTACATGGTAAAAATCCCTATTAAGTTTGCATTATACTGGTTTACATGGAAAAACCCCTATTAAGTTCCATTATACTGGTTTACATGGAAAAATCCCTATTAAGTTGCATTATACTGGTTTACATGGAAAAATCCCTATTAAGTTGCATTATACTGGTTTACATGGAAAAATCCCTGATACTGTTGTGGAGAAGTTTAAAGCCGGATTTGGATACAAAAATATTTCCCAAGCTTTAAACATCTCAAGGAGCACTGTGCAAGCAATTATATTGAAATGGAAGGAGTATCAGACCACTGCAAATCTACCAAGACCCGGCCGTCCCTCCAAACTTTCATCTCAAACAAGGAGAAGACTGATCAGAGATGCAGACAAGAGGCCCATGATCACTCTGGATGAACTGCAGATAACTACAGCTGAGGTGGGAGAGTCTGTCCATAGGACAACAATCAGTCGTGCACTGCACAAATCTGGCCTTTATGGAAGAGTGGCAAGAAGAAAAGCATTTCTCAAAGATATCCATAAAAAGTCTTGTTTAAAGTTTGCCACAAGCCACCTGGGAGACACACCAAACATGTGGAAGAAGGTGCTCTGGTCAGATGAAACCAAAATCGAACTTTTTGGCCACAATGCAAAACGATATGTTTGGCGTAAAAGCAACACAGCTCATCACCCTGAACACACCATCCCCACTGTCAAACATGGTGGTGGCAGCATCATGCTTTGGGCCTGCTTTTCTTCAGCAGGGACAGGGAAGATGGCTAAAATTGATGGGAAGATGGATGGAGCCAAATACAGGGACCCATTCTGGAAGAAAACCTGTTGGAGTCTGCAAAAGACCTGAGACTGGGACGGAGATTTATCTTCCAACAGGACAATGATCCAAAACATAAAGCCAAATCTACAATGGAATGGTTCACAAATAGACGTATCCAGGTGTTAGAATGGCCAAGTCAAAGTCCAGACCTGAATCCAATCGAGAATCTGTGGAAAGAGCTGAAGACTGCTGTTCACAAACGCTCTCCATCCAACCTCACTGAGCTCCAGCTGTTTTGCAAGGAAGAATGGGCAAGAATTCCAGTCTCTCGATGTGCAAAACTGATAGAGACATACCCCAAGCGACTTGCAGCTGTAATTGCAGCAAAAGGTGGCGCTACAAAGTATTAGCGCAAGGGGGCCGAATAATATTGCACGCCCCACTTCATTTTTTTTATTTGTTAAAAAAGTTTAAATTATCCAATACATTTCTTTCCACTTCACGATTGTGTCCCACTTGTTGTTGATTCTTGACAAAAAATCACATTTTTATATCTTTATGTTTGAAGACTGAAATGTGGCGAAATGTTGAAAGGTTCAAGGGGGCCGAATACTTTCGCAAGGCACTGTAACCCAAGACCCAAGAGTTCCTACAATAATTAAGGATTTTTTAAAGATGTACAGGAGGATTTTCTACTTTTGGGTGGATCATCAAGACTATTGGTCCTCCCAACTGTCAATCATTCTGCTGATACGTGCTCGTCCAATAAGAGCAGAGAGTTTGGTTCTTTCCTAAAATGTATGAAAATCCTCCTGTATCCAGACCAGTACCTTTAAGTCCTGTGCCTCGGACCTCTTCTTCCTGGTTTTCCACTTTTCCACAGATCCTTGAAGAGCACCTCATGTTTACACTACATTTTATGATCCCTGAACTGTTTATTATTTATTATTTTTATTTTTTAGGGAGAATCCGTTGTTTACCGTGAGCTTACGTAGCCTTCAGAGTTGCGTGGGTTCGTTTATGACACGGATCGTCAAAAGGATTATCGTCTGGATGTGTTTTTCTGTGAGCTTTCAGAGATTCACTCTTGGTAAATGATTTGCTGCACACTGAACAGCTGTAGGGTCTTTCTCCCGTGTGCACTCGACTATGTCTCACGAGATGATTCTTAAAAACAAATGTCTTATCACAGGCTGAGCAGCTGTAAGGTCTCTCTCCGGTGTGCGCCTTGAGATGTGAACGTAGACCCGGCATCGAGGCAAAGGTTTTGCCGCACGTCGAGCAGCTGAAGGGTTTCTCTCCCGTGTGTTTTTCTACTGTGTAAAAGTAAAGATCCTTTATGGGCAAAGGTCTGGTCACAGGTGGAGCAGCTGTAAGGTCTCTCCCCTGTGTGTGTTCTTGTGTGTGACCGTAGAGTGGACTTACTGGAAAAGGTCTTGCTGCATACTGAACAGCAGTAGGGTTTCTCCCACGTGTGCTGCTCATATGTATCTTCAGAGAGCCCACGTAAGCGAACTCCTTGTCACAGACGGAGCAGCAGATCTTTTCCCCGGTGTGCTCAGTCATGTGACGCTTCAGAGCCATGTGGTACAGAAACTCCTTTTCGCAGACTGAGCAGCTGTAGGGTGTTTCGCCTGTGTGCTTCCTTCTGTGATGATTGAGAGAATGCACGTGTGAAAAGCTCTCGTTGCAGACGTCGCAGCTGTAAGGCCTCTCTCCGGAATGCGTCCTTAAATGAGAATGCAGGTTGGACTTGGACGAGAATGTCTTGCTGCAGGCTGAACAGCTGAAAGGTTTCTCGCCGCGGTGTAGACTCAGGTGGCGCTTCAGTGTAGCGGCTTCTGTAAATTTCTTGTCACAGAGAGAGCAGCTAAAGGGTTTTTCATCTGTGTGCTTTCTCCTGTGAGTGATGAGAGCGACCTGATGGGAGAATGTTTTACTGCAGACTGAGCAGCTGTAAGGTCGCTCTCCAGTGTGTATT